CAAGTATTGACTTCACAGCGATTTTTTATCCGAAAAGGTTGAAATATATATAAAAAAAAAAAAAAAAAATCTAAGATCAAGAATATCTTAGCAAACTGTTGAAATAAAATAAAATAAAAAAATTATTATTTTACGTAACAATACGTAAATTTAAGATAAATTCATTTTGTTGACTTATTTAAACAGTTTTTTGTTTACGGCAAACTCAAATGAAAACATGTTTGTAGACAAATTGCACCAACAAAATTTATTTTTAACGAAGGACGCAAAGTTTGTAACGAAATTTTGTTAATCCATGAGTTTATATACTTTCCTAATCGATACAAACTTACAGTCAATATTTGTAACCTTCGCAGATATATCAAAATTTTTTATCCTCTGAACGAGTTGTTATCAATTACGATACACTTTCAAGAGATGTCATACGATGATAGCTGAAGTATAAAGATAAAACGTTAAATAAAAAAATGCACACTTATTTATTTTGAAGAAGAATCTAAAAACTTTTTAACTACTAAGCAATTTTATCGATGTACAGTTTTATCTCGCCTTGACTAAATCAATTTAATTAAAAAATCTTTCTTAAATCGTGTGTGGAATAAAACTCATTTCAGTAGACGTTTATAAACATATGTATACATATGTATTAATTTTAATTTTATCTTATTACACAAGTATCTCAGATAGAGTGTCATACGTCAACGTATAAATATTGATAATTTTAGCTGATCAAACAGTACCGTCCATCAATATGAAGGCGTTTGCTTTTATTTATTTTTCAATCGTATCTCAAATAATTTTAGTACACTGTCGACTCCAATCACGCTCCTCTTTTTCATGTGCTCTAGGTTTTGTAAGTGTTCACTTTTTTTTTTTCTTTAGTTTTGTTACGTGAAGTTAAATAAACAAACAAAATCTTTTTTATTGCTTTTAGAACTATTTCTTTCCAACCGACGCGTTCATGTCTTCTGTATTTTATAAAAATGTAGAAGAAAAAGTTTCCTTTCATCTCTTTACAAAAGAAAACATGGATGGAGAAGAAATTGTCTTGAACGATGTTAGTATAAAGTCCAGTAGTTTTAATTTTAGTCGTCCAACAAAAATTATTACCCATGGATATTGGAACCAAAAGGAGTCTAACGCGTGTACGATGCCACGTGATGGTGAGTATTTTTTTTTATTTCAATTGTTCTGAATTCGTGAGTTCGAAGTTACGTAACAAAGTGATTGTAATTTTCAGCATTTTTAAAAACTAGGGACTGCAACGTCCTAGTTGTAGATTGGTGGAAAATGGAATCAATCTCGGGTGTGCCAATAATTTATAACGCAGCCTGCAAAAGTGTTCCAATAGTTGCTGAATACGTAGCTACAATGATTGACTTTCTCGAAAGTCACGGACTGAATCTTAATGATACATCCTTGATTGGGCATTCGTTAGGTGCTCATTTGATGGGAATTGCCGCTTCCAAAACGAAAAACAGAATTAGCCACATTGTTGGTAAGTTTAATGTATCAAATACATTTTTTGTACGTACAATTTCTTAAAATTTGGAAACTAATTATTTTATTTTATTGAATAAAATAACGGATACGAAAACCTAAGTTCTTAAGTTTACATGTCGAGCATTGAACTTTTATTAGTGTTTATGAATTTATTTATTACTTACTCTTCAATAGAAGAACTCTGGTTTTTAAATCCGTTTTTCGATCAGTTCTCTACACAGATCGGCTTTCAGAAGAATATTATTAAAAGAAGTAATGATTGATCATATTGTTTAGTTGCAGCTTTAATTATAACCTTACAATATTTTTAAACTGAAAAACTTTTTGTTCAAAATACTTCTAGATTTTGTTGTTAAAAAAAATTTTTTTAATTAAATTTATGTTCAATCTTCTAAAGGTTTGGATCCAGCAGGACCCATATTCCAAGACAACAATTCATCCGAACGTTTATCACCTGATGATGCCACAACAGTTCTCGTGATACATACAAACGTAGGCCATTGTGGATTATCCCAGACAATAGGACATTACGACTTTTATCCAAATGGTGGACATAAGCAACCAGGATGTTGGATGAATCATTGTGCACATTCGCGTTCTTATGAATTATACGCTGAGTCAATTTTTAGTCGAGATGGATTTTATGCGAATTGGTGTTCCAGCTTAAATTTTGATGTTGAAGGGAACTGTAACAATAATACTGTAAAAATGGATGAAAACTTACGAACTCAAAATGCAAAAGAAGGAATTTACTACTTAGAAACAAGTGATTCATTTCCTTATGCCCTAGGAAGGTGACATCCTGTCAATGAATTTCAAAAATCATTTTAGCTTTTTTTACATCTTTGATATCGTTCACAGCATTTTTGAATTAAAAAAATATTCTTTGTAGAATGAGAATTTTTGTCCTTCATAAATAACTTTGATCATATTGCATTGTAAGTTATGTATTGTATTATAATTATTAACTATATGTACATACTCATTAATTGATAATAAGTCTTTCCCACGTAAATAACTCATAAAATTTTTTGTAATTTTATATTATATTGCACATATCTTGTATAATCTTACGACCAATTTTCGTTTTATAATTGTACGAATAAACAAACGGTAGTCTGTCGTTTCAAAAAATAATTGTTAAAACATATTTCTTAGTATTTCTTCATTTTATGAAATATGTTGGTGAATAAAGAAGTAAAGTATAATAACATATAACTGATGAAATGAATTTATATTTAACTTCTGTTTCCTGAGAGTTACTTAATTTACAAAATAATGCTTTATTATTGACTTATAGCTAATATTACATGTAAAATACTTCATTTTCTCGTATGAATATAAATCTTTAAAAAATCTGTGACTTAAATCCATGTGCTAATTTGAATCGTATATTTGTTTGTATTCCAAATTCTTTCCATGTTAGTTACTTTATAATGATACTTAGTTCTATCATGTGCGTTGGGAAAAGTGAGCAACAATTGTGTAAATTTATATTTTGAAGCCTCAAGAGTTTCATTGGATTAAATGTATATGTATATGAGTGGGCCTATTGTTTTCCTTTGTATTTAAATTTTCTTATATTAAATTTGATTTTAGTATTAAAAATTTTTAACCCTAACCTTAATCTAGAATGTAATGTATTTTTTATAAAATTCTTAATAATGGTAAGTGTAAATTTCTATATTGGTAACTCCTGATTATTGTATAACAATTAATTCTTTCAAATACTTTGTGACAATTTTCATAATCAATATGATATTAATAGTAATTTATATTTATGTAAAAAAGTTTGTAATTGAAAAATACGTTTCATTTTTATTGCAATACATTATAATTGATAGTAAATATGATTTTCATACGTAATCAACTTGTTACTTGTTTGAAGTATTGACTTCAGTACAACTCTGTATTTGAAATTTGTGCATGACCTTACTTTGATACAGTGTTACCACTAAACAAGAAAGTATTATGTAAAATATGTTAACTATTGAATATGTTAACAATAATAACAATAATTTTTATAAATGATTTAAAAATACGAACATACAAAAATTATCGTCAGAAGTTCATTATTTTCTGTTGTGATATACATAATTAAAACAAAGGAAAATACACTTCACCATAAGAATTCATGTAAAATGTATGAAAAACGTAAACAACAATATTTTACTTCCGAAAAAATTGTAACCTCACAAAAATTTGACAGAGTAATTATTATACATTATTTTAACTGATGTGTGACGAGTTTAGTTACAATATCATCATTAAATCAATTTGAACTACCTTAAGTGATACGTCGATTTGAACTGGTAATTGCATGAAGCCGTGACGACTGATCTTTGGTAAATGTTTTTTTTGGCACTGTTTTTTTTAATTTATTTAAAATTTGTGTTATCAATCCAAAATTTTGATATGAATAAATAATGGATAGACGTTTGACATCCACAAACTACTCGTCTCGTTTCTTGGTTATAATACTTTTTGTCTAGTCTTGAATCTCATAATCCATAGTATCATTTTGATCTTGTCTTAATTTGACAAGATAAGACACGAGTAAAATTCTTTTAAAACGGTGACAACCCCAATCTATGTTTATAACACAAATCTTCGTTTACAGTTTAACACATTTTAACATTTTTTTATCTAAAGTTATGTCATGAATATTGATAGACCTTTCAAAAAAAACTAGAAAAACATTTTTTTTTTAGATATAGCTCCCTTGCCACTTGTTTAAGGCTTAACTAATATATTCAAATCTAACCTTTACCTCACTTTTTACATTCTATCTTATTCTTAAAGACATTTAGTTACAGACAATCTTAAACTTTTGTTGGGAGAATTTTTCATACTCGAGTTGTTTCATGATACATTAATATCTTATTATGGTAGCTTCATTAAATAATAGTAATTATAACCTAATGGTTGTTAACTGGTGGGACACGTAATTTAATTAAGAGTAATGCACTAAGTGCCCTCTATATCAGATATTTGACAAAAGTTTCGCATGTAAATCACAAGCAGCCTCATCGTATGAGGCTTTTGTTTTTGTATAAGAACTTTTGTCGCGCCCTCTGTATCAGATATTTGACAAAACTTTTGTCAAATATCTGATACAGAAGGCGGAGATTTGCATCGGCTCGGAGCGAATAGGTAGTTATAGAGCGAATAGTGTTACGTGGGAAAACGGTGTGGCATGGGGTGCATGCAAGATAACAAGAAAATTTTACGTTCAACAATCCTTTATTCCTTATTTTGGTAAAGGATGAGTGTATTACTCATCTGGACATCTCAATACACTTGGCAGCTACAAAAAGAAGTTTAGGTGACTTAGCGTTTATTTCACTAGTGCTCCAACGAGAGTATTGCCTTAAGATACGTATCAAACAATCATATCGATTGGTTTATCCTGACCAAAGATATTAGTAAGTGTTCTGAAGAGTAAATGAAACTTCATTGTTAGGACATGATTGTGTATTTATATTCTAAGAGGGGAAAAGTCAGATACATCTCTCGCACCCCTCATCAAGGTTGTCAACCTTCTTAAAAATCGATAAAGAGCAAAATTAAGAAATTATTTAATAAACCCATTATGTGCTGGAGTTCATACGATGCTAATAAGATGGTTCTCTCAAGAGCAAAAATCTACTTTGTTTGTTTACATTTGTATTCATGTTTATTTAAAGAAGATGATAATCACATCATTTTTAAGCTCAATTTATTTGTTATGACAATTTTAAATTCTCGAAGATAAAAACGCACATTTCCCTGTTATGTTATAGGCTTGTTATGATTACTCAACTTTTTCTTCCATTTAAAACTTAGATGGCGAATCGATTCTGAATAGTTATTCATTATACATTGTTCTTATAAAATATGACAGCCTTGTAAAATTCATTGAAAAATGTGATTCCAAGTAAATCACCTTATTGCGATAAGTATTTACTTCACGAATAATATTTGATAACATTAAAGTGTATCTTTTCCTTGAATCGACTTCCCATCGGACACGATAACATGTATGTAGTTATGTCTTCCGTATGCATCGGATACGTTGTTTTTTAAAGCTATTTATAATTATCTTTCAACAAATCTTTAGATACTTGGGGGAAGTTTTTCTGTTGTCAAAGCGTATAAGTAAGAGTTATACAAGCATTTCGAGTATTTAAACACTTAGAAAGTGAAAAGGGTAGTAGTCTTCAAAATGTACCATTTACTGTTGGTAGTATTTTTTTCATTTCAAGTACTCTGCTCTAGCCAGAAACCTGATTCGGCAATCTCTTGTGTATTCGACACTTTTGACCAAGTTAGTAGATAGTATATTTCTTAGGTAGTTAAATTTATAATAAAAAAGTTTTTTTTGTATCCTCAGATTAATGGTATTAAACAAATTATTTCTACTTATAATCAACGTAATGAGAGGACCGTAGAATCAAGCGTTAAGTTTATATTTTACTCTCGTGAGAATCCAAATGGACAAGAAGTTACTTTCAATGATGAGAACAGTTTAAAGGAATGTCACTTTGATCCAAAGATACCAACAAAAATAATTACTCATGGCTTCAATGGAAACGGAAATCATGATTCTTGTGTCGGACCCACGAAAGGTGATACCCATATTTCCATACTCATAGTACTACTTGAACCTTTTTCGTATACACTTTTCTATACTTCAATATTTATTATATACATAGCTTTCTTGGAAAATGGTAATTTTAACATTTTTATCATGGACTGGTATAAACATCAAACTGAGGGATTTTGGTTTCCAATATACTGGGAAGTTGTAAAAAAATTAAATGAAGTCGGATCCCATTTGGCAAAAATGATAAATTTCTTAGAAGAGCATGGAATGAATCCTAACACTACAACTCTGATTGGCCATTCTCTTGGATCTCACGTTGTTGGGATCGCTGGGTATAATACTCGATCCAAAGTAAACCATATCGTTGGTATGCAACAATAAATTTAAACATGATAATAGAACATGTTAAAAATTGTGACTATAGTTTTAAACGTTGTTTCGAATACCTCAGGATTAGATCCTGCAGAACCATTTATGAAGAATAAAGGTCCAGGAGAACGGATCTCAGATCAAGATGCATACCACGTCGAAATAATTCACACAAATAGTAATCATTGTGGAATGCTAAAACCATTGGGTCATTATGACTTTTATCCCAATGGTGGCATAAAACAACCAGGTTGTACACAGAATTCATGTTCTCATCGACGGGCTCATGACTACTACACAGAATCGATTTATAACTATAAAGGCTTTTATGGGAGACGCTGTCATGATGCGAATAGAATTGACAAAAAAAATTGCAATGGCCAAATTGCTATGATGGGAGGAACAAAAAATAGTTCTGTTCTTCCTGGTGTTTATTATGTTGAAACAAATAGTAAACATCCATTTGCTCTAGGTAACTAAAGATAAATACATATCGTTTCAAGTCACATGCTTATTAACTGTTACTCATGCGAATTATCTGTAAAGATACTATCATATGAAGTAAAATATTATCACGAGTATCTAATAATTTAAATTAATTTAACTTTAGTACAATTGAAATTTTACGCTAGTCATGTCATACTTGTGTGTTTAACAAATTTTTATAGTTTACACTCCGATTTAATTAGATTTTAAACTTAATAGAATTCATGTTTTTCATACTATCTTACATATGACGGAAAAAAGCCAATAATTTAATCCTTCGAAAATAATTAAACTAAAAGTTCAGTAACAGACAAAAAAAATTCCAGACTATTTAATTTATTTTTTATTTTAAAATCCACCTTAATGAATTTGTTTAAAAAAAAAAGTTGGATTAACGTCAAATCCTAATATTATATCAAGTTTATTTATATTCAAATTGAATTATTTTATTATAATAAAATTTTACGAATATTTTCGATGTAAAACATATCTTTAACACAGTAACAAACACATTTTTTTTCTATCCCTTAACAAATTTCATTTGAATCATTATACTTGAATTACGTTATTTAAAAAATATTTTATCTAAATCACAGTCTCGCTGTGTTTACAGCTTGAACTCGTCACACAATTGACAGAGTTACTTTATTAAAAATTGTTTTTTGTTTTTAAATATAAGACTTATTTTTGTACAAATTTTTTAAATAAACGATTGCAAAAAATAGCCATCGTATATTACGATTTATTTTGACCTTATTCTTCGAAATATATAAGTGTAAGTATTTCCATACTGTTATGAGTATTTTTAATGTATTAGCGAGTTAAATATGTACTTGAAATCTCTTGTATCCAAGGTATTCTTCTGTGAACTTGAATATTCTCAAGTTTGGTATAGATGCACCCACGTACGTCCAAAAAAGTTTTACAAAAAATTGAGTTTATTTTATAGAAAAATTAATTTAGTTCAAAAACTATTTTCAATCCTTGCAATAATGTACGATTCAATATGAGTTGTTATTGAAATTTAAATCACGCAATAATTTATAGAGAAGCTTACTGTATGCATGCTTATCAATGATCGATAATCTACTTTATCACGACACTGCAAAAAACTTTTCGACGAACTCTTATAAACTATAGATCCCCAGACTAGTTATAACTTTGTCAATAACACATTTTACATTCTTATAAGTGTTATACTTATTTTGTCAAAAAATGGTACTGTCTATTGATCGTCTAAATTACTTCTAAATCACAGAAAATGAATCACAAAAACCAAGAAAATGAGGGCACTGGATTGCAACCCGATCAACTTTCCTGCTGTATTATCTCTTATAAATACTATAGAAATAATATATATAGACGTTCGAGTAAAGAATAGTAAGCGTGAAGCTCGTGGTATCTATCAAAGAGGGACAGCTCCATTTATCAGCCTATACTGCAGCTTGAGCTTCCTTCGTCGAGCACTTGGCATTTATTGTCTAGTGACTACGGGCATGGTGCGCTTTCCCAATGGACAATACCATTGCAAGCTTCTGCTTGTCTCTTCGTTACGCGGGCGATTTATTTATTTTTTCGTGCGAGAATTAACGCTCAACCGCCTTTCTCTTTCTCTCGGATACTTTTCGAGAGTCACTTTCTACTATGGTTTTTTTGCAACCGAGACTGCAGTTGAAACATTATCATATGCGCGCAATTTCACAATAGGCATCGATAAATAATAAATAAGTGTAAATTATGTCGTCATTGCAATACACGGTAGAGGATGACGGCTTCTTGTGCAACGATAAATATTTGATCCAGTCTATATACCCGATGATCTCTGCGCATTAACAACTTGTTCTTGTAATGTTGGCGTTAAATTACTCGTACACTACTGATATCTGATAACACGTTACTCTATTTCAAGGACCGAAGAAAGTTAATCGCTTTCTCACACGTACTGCCCTAAAGAGACGTGGAAAAAAAAAAGATAACTGGGTGTCAACGCTGTTTTAATCCTCCATCAGGAAAGAAGATCCAGTTAATCTACTCCTCCGTTCCGTAAGAAATTCATCGAGTAAGCACACACCAGATCGAGTGTGTGTGTGTGCGTCTCAGCGAACGGAAGCTAGGGAGGAAAAAAAGCTGATCTTACGAGCTAGCCTCAAACTCGTTAACGAATCCACGGCCAAGGATCATTAATCATCTGCCGTTCCGGCCACGGAGTCTCTGCAAATATCACGGGGTTATTTGCTCCGACACTTACGAACCAACTTGCCGGCGACGGATATCCCTTAGGTGCTGGGCAAAGATAAAGTGCACGCGCTCAGGCACCAGGGAAGAGAGAGAGAGAGAAAAAAAAAAAGAAAAAAAAAGTCGTACGACAGGCCAATGTGCCGTGCTCAAATATTGACCGATCGTTTATCAAAGGAGGAAGAGGAGGAACATCAGCTGAAGCTTCGGTCAGTCCTTGATGAATAATTTTTTTTTTTTTTTGCTCACCCTCTGCTCGGGTTACCGTTGTCTTGTAGCCCCGAGAAAAGAAGGCTGGTCGTTTAAGGTCCCAGATACGTACCTACTGTCACTCTATGGTAATTTTTTTATTTATTTTTTTTTTTTCTCTAATCGATCGCAATATCGAATTTTGTGCCCCGAGCCAGCCAACGGCCTTAATTGTTAATGGAAGCAAAGTAGTTACGACGGGATCGAGAAAATTAGAAAGAGATTGGCCAGCGCGGGGAAAGACACGCAGAGAGCCATTTCGGACAACACACGTTCAATTTGGGCAACGTCACGGTCACCAGCCGGGGCTCTATGGGGATGACGAAAATTGAAAACGACGCAGAAAATCACATAGACAAAAGTGCATTACCTCGGCGGTCGGCGCCACGATTGCATATAAACCCGCGAAGCAGAGCTGCAACGCCTCCGTGTATCCCAGCAGGCAAAACATGGCGGCCCCGCGCGCCAGAGACGACTCGGGACGTGCACGTGTGTATGGAGGGTAGCGGCGCACCCAACCCCCTTCCACTGTATATATATGTATGCCTTCTTCTCTAATAGTGTACGTATATATGTATGCATATAGATACGCGTATTTACAGGTACACTTGGAGAAATCTGTGCGTGTGTGTTCGTCGTATAGAGAGAGAGAGAGAGAAAGTCCGTTCGTCTATTATAGCGCCCTCCCCGGAGTTTTCGCGTGGGACTTTTGGGCATCCGAGCCCTTAAAAAAGCTCGATTCGCGGTGCGAAAAAAATGATACGCGCCCGTGGTAATGTGCGAGCAACTTGTCGAGCAAAAGCGTTTGCGACTGTTGCCAATGCGATACTGGCCATACTGCTGATGCAACATAAATTAAACTGCATAGAGAGTTCCTGCCCCTGCACCCCAATCGTTGGCTCTCTCTCTTTTTTGTCAGCTCCCTCGCTCTGTCTCCCGTGGCCGTCGTTGCAAGCGTATTATCGACGTGCTCCTCTCGCTGCATTTGTTTATATGACCGTGTACCCTGCATAACGCACCCCTTGCTCCATCAGCGTATGGGCTTGCGTGCGTGCGTGTGTCTATACACGTGCAGCCCCCGAGTGTTGTTTATCCATTTACGTGTATACCTATGTGTGTGTTGGGTGGCAGCGGGAAAAATTAACGAGTGGAGGTGAGGAATCTCCTGGAAAGAGTCTCGATGGGATCTACAAGGTGGTTTTCAAGACTAGACGAGGCAATTTGGAGATTTTCCTACATTTTTTGGAAACCCAGCGCTTGCGCGGGAAAATTCACAATGAAGCCCAAAAAGGCTGGCTAAAGTCTTCAGTTGGTATACATAGAGAGACATGCGAGCTTTTGCAGTTAGCCGAACATCCTCTTATTTGTTAAAAAAAGACCGCATAAACTTAAAAATCGCTTGTAAGAGAGACAAAAGTAGTTGGAATTTAATTTCGTACAATTGGCTAGCCGGGGGATAGCAGATACATTATTGTGTTATTTGTGTACGCAATATCCGGGTGCATGAATAATTCGTTACGACTCGCGAAAAGAATCTCTCGAGATCCCGATGAAATCGAGAAGAGGCCCGCACTCGAGGGTAGCAGTCCTGCATCAACTACACAATATGCCAACATATTTTCGACACGACGAATAAATAAAAAAAAAAAAAAAGGCTCGAGTGTCCCGCTGGATGAAACGCAAAACACACCGAAATGTAACGTATCGAAGCCTCCTTCCTCCCTCCCTCCCTTATTAATCAAGTGCATGAAAAACGTAACTCATATCACTCATCGCGGCACACACGACGCGGCCGGTGGAATGCGCTTCGCGAGAGGAGGAGAAAATAATTGCAAGCTCGACGCGGATCCGTCACGGGGCCACGAAATTGTATTCATAACGCGCGCCCGAAGAAGAGTGGACGAGCCAAACAGAAAGGGGGGTAGTGGGGGGGGGTAAAGAAAAAAAGGATCGACCGGCATTGAGCACCAAAGTCGAAATGGAGAGTGCGGCGAACGTCTGGGAAATTGGATTTAATGTTGTCAGGGCGTGTAGTACTGGATATCAGCGCGTGGACGAGCTTGCGCTCTCGAGCGAGCGAGTGTAAAAAAATACGGCGGGAGACGAGGAGTCGAAAAGTAAAATGAACAGACCGAATGGAAATGAATAAAAAAAAAAAAAAAAAAAAAAAAGGGACAGAGGAGAGGTGGAAAAAGAGGAGGAGGAAGGTTTCGGGGCGACGTGGATCCTTGCATGGAGCGAAAGGGAATGTCTTTTTTGATTGAAAATTCAAGTGCCCTTGCGATCTTAATCAAGGGCTCGGAAATTTTCAGCTCGATCGATGGAACAAACGAGTACAGCATCAGGAGCGCCGGGGGTTATCAGCTCTTGTCTCGTTCCCTCCGACTGCAACGGCGGTTGTATAATGTTCATGTACCTCCATGTGGAAGCCAACACGGTGACCCTCTCTCTTTTCCTCTCTTTACTGTATGCCTCTCTCGATTCAACTATTTTCCCTGCGCGTATCTCGCTTCCGTCTCCTCGTGTCCCTCTTTCGACTCTTCGTCGACAAGTGCGGCTATGTGCACATGGCACTCTCTGTGTTTTGATCTTTTAATATGACTTTATTTTACGGGGCTTATTGTAACGAGCACGAAAAAAACAGAGGATATACCAAAGGACTGCGTTTCGCGTTTTAATATTTGCACGGCTGTACCATGTCCCATGCTATCCGGTGTATGGGCGATCGGAAAAGTTTTTACAATGCTCGGCTTTATTGAAACATTTAGTCAATATTTCAAGTGATTATTACAACTTGTAAGCACCGGAATCACGCGTTGGGCGTTGCTACATCGAAAGATATTGTTTTTTCAGCAAATTGTTAAGTTGTATCGGAGGTAATATACGCCTACAGTGTTTATTTAATTTATAATTTAATTATTTTTTTATATAAATTTTTATGTGTCAAGAAACTGATTAAAAGGATGTTGAGAAAAAAGAAGATTATAATAAAAACTACATCATTTCTTATTTCAACAAAATACGTAATATTCTATCAAAATTTGGGTTAATCACCCAAACACTTTATCTGCAGCTCCATACTTAATATTTCAAATGAAGTTGATGGAGAAATGTAGATATAAAAAAGTTGAAATAACATT